CACTTCAGTTCTCTTGTATTTGGAGTATGTCAGTGCTGTGTGCTCCGTCCCTTCTGACCCCCTTCCCCTCTGTCCACTGCAGTTTTGTCATATCCTGGACACAAAGACCCTAAAGCAGAACTATCCCAAAACATTTATTTTATTATTTATTAGTTTATTTATTTCATTCATAAACTAGAAAAGCAGTCAGAGAGCGCAGACCTCCCCCAAGGACGACCCCCATGTTTTATATAAGTTGCGATAAAATCAGTCTTCTGGATCAGACCCGGATCAGCCTTTGGAATATGAAAGAGGATCCCATTGTCCATCCCTGAGTCAAATTTCATGGGGTTTGGTCAATAACCGAGATATTGAGAAACAAAATGTTTGGCCCCATTTACCACAATGTTAACTAAAATTTCAAAGTGATCCAGAATCCAGGATTTCTTCCGGATCACCCCCAAAATGAAATCAGTTCTTCCTTTTCACATTTCCAACAAATCCTGACAATTTCAAATGCCAGCAAAAACATAACCTCCTTGGCAGAGGTAATAAAAAAAAAAAAAAAAAAAGACTTCAACAGCAGCACAAAATCAAACACACAAGAAATGAATGAAAAGGAGCAGAAAGAAGAAGAGTCGTCTTATGTTCTCTGCCCCTTTTCCCTTTTCCCTTTTCAAGACAAAACATCTCCGCCAGGCATGTCCAAATGTGGCCCTCAGACAAATTTTTCTTGGCCCTCAGGCTTCCAGGTGAATTGGCCCAAATTACCTTGCCTCAATTAAAATTTAAATTTTTACAGTAAGTTTTTTGAAAATCTGCCTTGATAAAGTTAATATTTAGTGTTTGGTTTTAAGGATTTAACATGAATAAAGACTGACGGCTCATTCTAACGGCTTTAAACATGCACATATTTCAATTATTCACTGTTTTGAGCTCCAGTCTACGGCCCTCGATCGTCCCTCTGCTTCATCTGTGTTTAGATATGTGGCCCTTGATGAAAAAATGTTTGGACACCTCTGCTCTACGCTGATGGTTACTAAACATTTCAGATCAGTACATTTCAGTTCAGGCACAAATGTTAATCAATTGTCAACAGAAATCTTCATTTTTATGCACGTCAACTTAGTTTTCGTTTTCGTACATACATATTGCATTTGATTTTAAGTATTTTTTTAAATGCCGTCATTGTGTTTGATTCTTTTTTATCTTTGTCAAGACTTTTCCATAAGTGAACTCCTTTCACAGCGACGCTTCGCTCCATAACCTTGGTTCTGAGTCTGGGTTTTTAAAAAAATTGTAGTGCTTGTTCTTATCTCAAACACTCATTGAATATTTACAGGTAACACTCTGCACTTTGCTTTATACATGATTTTGAGGAGACTTAAATCGACAATGTCATGTATTCTCAACACTTTAAGTTGAACAAATTGGGTTGGATGGGTCTCTACAATGACTGTTGGTGAAATGACCAAATTTCTACACAGTCCGTCAGATCTGGAGCAATTCTAGAGTCATACAAAGTTAATAATGTGAGAACTTTACTGTATGTAGAACAGCAATAAAAAACATATTCTTTATTAAAAACATGAACTGCAGTACACATACAGATGAAGAAAACAAGTGATTTATTCATGTCTCTACAGCTCGAATAGTTTCAGTGTCCATGAGAAATACTCACCTCCAAGATCTTTTGTTCTGTCTGTCATTTAGTAAACCAGAAGTCATTAGAGTAGTACTGACAGACCTACCCATGTCCCCCTCTGTCCCCATGTCCCCCTCTGTCCCCGTGTCCCCCTCTGTCCCTGAAGGTGTCCAGCACAGACCCGACCCTCTTTCCCATGTGTACACTCTCTCTGTCTCATGTACCTCCTTCCCTGCAGGTGTCCAGCACAGGCCTGTGTCCTCTATTACCCATGTCCCCTCTGACCATGTCCTCCCTGTCCTCTCTGTCCCATCTGACCTGTGTCCTCCCTGTCCCCTCTGACCACGTCTCCTCTGTTCCCTCTGACCATTTCCCCCTTTTCCCCTCTGACCATGTCCTCCCTGTCCTGTCTGTCCCCTCTGACCATGTCCTCTCTGTCCTGTCTGTCCCCTCTGACCATGTCCCCTCTGTTCGCTCTGACCTGTCCCGTCTGACCCGTCTGACCATGTCCTCTCTGTCCCTGCAGGTGTCTAGCACAGGCCCACGTCCTCTCTGTCCCCTCTGTCCCCTCTGTTCTCTCTGACCTGTCCCATCTGACCCCTCTAACCATGTCCTCTCTGTCCTTACAGGTGTCCAGCGCAGGCCCACATCCTCTCTGTCCCCTCTGACCATGTCCTCTCTGTTCCTGCAGGTGTCCAGCACAGGCCCATGTCCTCTCTGCCCAGCGGAGGCTCGGGGGAGAACATAGTGTACGCTCTGCTGTGTGGAGGGGCTTTTGTGGGAGCCGTGACCTATGTAAGTGCAGCACCACCCTGACGCACATGCTCACGACCTATGACCCCTGACCCCTGTGACACTATCAGATTTGTGTCTGTACATGTTGTTCAGTGTGTGCTCATGAGTCTAAAATACATACAGCCTAAAACTTCAATACCTTGAATGTCGTTAAAAAAAATAAGAAGTTGAAGTTTACAGAAAGACATGGCATGAAATAAGTGGACATGTGAGTTTAGTGTGGTGGTTTTTGTGTAACATTGCTTTTTTATCCTTAGAATATTGTGTTATTGGCTCTTTTCTTGTTTTAATGATCCCACAGAAACACGATTAAACATGTCCAATATATCACCTACAATTTAGATTCAATAACGATTCAACTCCAACTTTCTTTTAAATTAGACGTTACTTTTACTCTGAAATTCCACAGTAACTGAAGGTGTTTTGAGGTTCTAGTTACAAGTTCCTTTTGGCTTCAGCTAATCCACCTGCACTCTCTGAGAAAAGGGTCACCTCTTCTAATACTGTAAATCAGGAGTGTCAAACTCGTTTTGGTCCGGGGGCCGTATCCAACTGACTTTGATCCCAAAGGGGCCAGATCAGAAAACTCATGTCATATAAACCCCAAAAATAACAATAAATTCAAATATTTGTGCAGAGAAACAAAAATCTATTACAGAAATCTTTTTTAACTGATGAACTCTTTCTTTTACAAAATATTATAATATTATGAACAACCTGAAACTTTAAGAAAAATGTAATTTCCACACAATGTTTTAACAAACAACTTGTTTGCAAATAGGAATAAGTACATTTTTTTTGGTAAAATCCTGCACTCAGCTCTACTTTTCTCATGTTGGACATGAGGGTGTCACAGTCAACAGTCAAAACGATCGTCCTTTAAGAGCGTCTGGAAAGAGACAAGTCTTCATTTGTGCTGCTCTGGTGGGAGGGGCCACGTACAGAGACACTGGAGACGCTGCTAGGCTCAGCACCGCAGAAAATTAACAATATTTTAATAGAAAATATAATTAAAATATTTCTGTAGAAAATCACCCAAGGGCCACATTAAAGGTCTTGGAGGGCCAGATCTGGCCCCTGGGCCATATGTTTGACACCTGTGCTGTAGACTTACTAGTGTGTTTGAGTCTGAGTCAAATACATTTTAGATCAGGGGTGTCAAACATACGGCCCGGGGGCCAGATCCGGCTCTTCAAGACCTTTAATCTGGCCTTCGGCTGATTTTCTAGTAAAATATTTTAATTATATTTTCTATTAAAATATTCGTAATATTCTGTAGCAGCGTCTCCAGCATCTCTGTACGTGGCCCCTCCCACCAGAGCAGCACAAATGAAGACTTGTCTCTTTCCAAACGCTCTTAAAGGACGATCGTTTTGACTGTTGACCGTGACACCCTCATCAACAAAATGTCCAACATGAGAAAAGTGGAGCCGAGTGCAGGATTTTACAAGAAAAATGGACTTATTCCTGTTTACAGACAAGTTCATGTTAAAACATTGTGTTGAAATTACATTTTTCTTCAAGTTTCAGGTTGTTCATAATATTATAATATTTTGTAAAAGAAAGAGTTCATCAATTAAAAAAGATTTCTGTAATAGATTTGTGTTTCTCTGCACAAATATTTGAATTTATTGTTATTTTTGGGGTTTATATGACATGAGTTTTCTGATCCGGCCCCTTTGGGATCAAAGTAAGTTGGATACGACCCCCGGACCAAAATGAGTTTGACACTCCTGCTTTAGATTAACAGACACAAACCTGCTCTGCTACAGCCTCAGTCTGATCCCTGACCTTTGACCTCTGACTTCCTGTACAGGCCGTCAGCACCGTGTCCACGGACAGCGCCCGCTTCAACGACCGCATCACAGAGTTGGCCTCCCGCCCCAAGTCAGAGTGGAAGCCCCGGCCCTGGCCCCCCAAGAGTGAGTATAATCTCTCCATCAGGGAAACGAAAAGCAACAAAACACAGTGGAGTGGACGAGCGCGGGGTTTGGATACTGTGTCTGGTCTATGGGCTATGGTCAAGAAATCCTTTAGACGTGCTCCAGGGTCTCATTTATAAAACTTTCCGTACAGTTCTTACTGAAAGTACAAACAAAACACAAACTTCTAGAAGCGTCCTGTGAGCACAGAATGTCTTCTCCCTCCAGTCTGAACACATTTAGGTCCGTGTTGCTCATTTCCACTTCAAAAAGTCTTGTTCTAGATCAAACATCTAACATGAAAAGTCACGTACATAAAATTTTTCAGACCTCAGGACATTGGTGAGATGATTTAAAGGGCTGTGAGTGCAGAGGTGATGTAATATTACTCAAGTAGAAGTACAAAGTAGTTGTCCAATTACTTAAATATGAGCAAAAAACTACCACTCAAGTACAAGTAGTGGACTAAACTTAAAGAGTAACTGTCTGGACGTAGCATCTGATTTAGAATTTGAAGGTAATGTAATCTGAAGGACAAAACATTAAATAATGCACAAAATCTGTTCTTTTGAAAGGACAGACACAAAAATGAGACAAACTAAATCAAATCTAAATGAGCTGCAAGAAACACAAATGTTCAGATCATTTCAGATTGTCAACATAAAGCTTTTGGCATTTGTAGACTTTCTCACAGTGGGTGACCCAAATTTTAACTCTCATAAAAGTACTGTTACTGCAATAAAAATAATACTCAAGTAGGAGTAGCTACGTATGCTGCAAGAAAAGTACTCTGAAAAGTACACTACCCTCCTTTGTCTGTGTATTTCTGTCTTTTTTCGTCCAGTAAAATACTTGATAGCGATTTCAGCATTTCTGTGCTGTGACCCACACTGCCAGCTCAGTCCTTGAGGTATAATACTCCCTACAGTGGAAGCATAGACAGACTGGACTGCACTAGACTGAAACGGACAACACCACCTCAATGGGGTTCACAGTAGAGATGCGCGGATGGGCTATTTTTTCATCCGCAACACAAAACTCATCATCCACCCGCTGTCCATTTGCACCGAAGGTTTTGACCCATTTTCAAAAACCACTCGCCCGCCATCCACTGATTGATTTTAAAACAGTCATATAGCAAACAAACTAAGGAGCCTCGATAAAAATGCAAACTCTATAGCTCATTTATTCCAAAATTAGCTCAACATTGTGCATGTTCACCTTCTTAATCGTCCCTAACATCTCCAAACCTGCCTGGTTGTCTTGCGCAGCTAATTGACAACGTTTTCCGACTAGGCTGTTTTTGAACCTTCTTACTTCTATATTAAAAGCACATCCCCGTATTACGACATGCCTCTATTTAGACATGCCAGTTTTCCAACACTTTTTGGTATTGCTATCATAGTTTATGTCTCGCTATCCATGGTGCTGAACGCAGCAGATCGATCAGTATGTAGTTGGGTATAGAGCAGCAGGATATGTCAGGCTATAAAGTTGTGAGCACGATCGCATCAGCTGTTTCCTGTCTGCAGTAAAACCGCTCACTTTGACACTCTTAGTTGCTTGAGCCGGTGCAAAGAGCTCTGCACTTTTAGTTTAGCTACAAAACTGTGTTATTATTATTCGTGAAATGTTTTGCAAAACTTCAGATACAGGATTTTTAAAACATAAAAAATTGGTGATAAAGTAGAGTCACTGTCACTAATCTGCAGCTTCACTCAGCTCGATCCGTGCGCTATGTGGATGTAAACAGACGCACGTGAGGAACTAATCTCACCTTTTTACATTTAAAAAAATGCCTCTGTTTTAGATTAGATATTTTCCCGAAGGCTGGCCTACACTCTTTTTTAAAAGGCATGTTTCCCATGGCTGTCAGTGAGAACATTTTCCCACTGTCTGATCTCCTCTGTGGCTGAAGTATTCTCTGATCAAGAGCTTTGCACCGGCTCAAGCATCTTATGATATATGGGAGCGTAAAAGTATAATAGGCTCTCACATTAATATTATTCATGGTGAAAAAATCTAATGTTTGAAAAATAGTAAAGTGCCACTACTTGAAAAATAATGTTTCTGCTGCTACTTCGACAATTAGACGTCAATGTCTGAACAGTGGCATGTCGGAATAACTGCATGGAACTGGCCACAATGTCCTGAGAGTTCATGTCTGTGGGTGACTGTCTGTACTGATTTAGTCTACAGCAATTGGCCGACTAATAACGTTTGGTAACTAAGGCTGCGTTCAGACTGCAGCCTGAAGTGACCCAAATCCGATTTTTTGGCCTCTATGTGACCTGTATCTGATCTTTTAATGACAGTCTGAACGACACAGATCCGAATTTTCAAATGTGACCCAGGACACTTGGATATGTGCTCCTAAAACCGATACATATCTGATCTTTTGACATGTGACTTCAGTCTGAACGGCCAAAGTGCATTCATCCACCTACACGTTATCAACAAGACACAAACGTCACTATTCTGCGCTGAAGTAGGTGAAAATTGTTAATGAACTCCGTGTCACTGAAGTGAAGTACATCACCACTCACCACTCTTGGCTCCGTCTCCACATCCACACGTTCCTTTCAACAAACGTCGCTGCCGCTGTCCCACAAAACACCACGACCAAAAACCTCGTCCTTCTCCTTCTCAATCTCCTCCTTAAAACAAGTAAGTTGTTCATGTTCTGGCTCCGGTACGAGAGGAACTTTAAAATCTCCAGGTGCTCGATGCTGCGTCCATGTTTGGACAACTTCAGTAAACACAGAGACGCTCGCTGCGGTTGACGTCGTCGTGTCTCCAGTGTCACATGTGGGACACTTTTGGGCCGTTTAATGTTCACACTGGAGTCACATACAAGTCACATTTAATTGGAAATGTGAACAACCTCGCAAAAACATTGGATTTCACCAAAAAATCGTAATTGAGCGTTAAGCCCTGCTGTCTGAACGTAGCCTAAGACTCAACTGACCCATTAAAGAACCCATATTATGCTGTTTTCTGATGTGTTTTTCTGTTCTAACGTTTCCTCATCACAAACACACCTGGAGTTGTGTTTAATTTCATACGTTTAACACAAACCCTGCAAATTTAGGCTTCTTAGTTCTTCTTTCAAACTGACAACACTCCGGTCTACGTTGATGTGATGATGCAAGAAGTGCTCTGCTGTGTTTTTGAACTCCACACACCTTCACTAGAATCATTTGGATGATTTCAGTCCTGGAATTGTCGATCTCTACTGAACAAAATGTTAAAAGTAGCTGATTAAACCAGATTAAGACATGGCAAAGTGGAACAGACCATTTGATCGTATGACTTGTGAACAGACATAATAATAAAGGTTTGTGTGAATGAAACAAAACACAACTATGAGGTAACATTATCACATGGCTTAATCGGAGTCAATTAAGTGTAATAAAATCGGACTTTTTAAATGACTCACTAACTAAATGCCTGTAGTCTTATTGTATTTGTTAAAGTAGTTAAAGCGCGTCACTGAAATGCTGCTGAACAGGAGCGTGAGTTGGCGGCAGTTGGCATGTGTGTGTCATCAACCGCACGTGCTGCTCTGATCCCTCTGGCACTCGATCAATACAGCAGCTTTCACACACACCGTGCCAAACGCGAAGGACACTACTGGGGCAATGCTTCTAAGAATGCTATTTACGTAACTAGAATTGACTCAGCTCTGGAGGATGACCAGTGCAGCAGGGGATTGTGGGAGAGTTGTAGGTAATCCCTGTCTTATTACAGCGCAGCACTTTTAGACGGGGACTGATTTAGAAGCTCCACGACACGCTAGAGGCTCTGTGCCAGTCACTGCATGTACACACAGGCCAGGAAAACCCCATCGCTGGCCTATTTAAATCAATCTAAGTCAATCAATTATTCAAAGTGCATGTAAACCCGAGAACTACAGTTGGATAGTCATGAATCAAATCTCAAAGATCTCAATAACATACTGCATTTTTGGACTATAAGACACTCTGGAGTATAAGTCACACCAGCCAAAAAATGCATCATGAAGAAGAAAAACATATATAAGTTGCACTTTTTTGGAGAAATTAATTTTATAAAATCAGAGACAGGAAACTGACATTTCATGTTGAAAGTCAAGTTGTAGTAAAAAGAATAGAAGAGAGAACAACAGACTGTTAATGTCACATCTGAACAGTTCTTCAGATAAACTATAACATAAACAACAGAACAAGTTTACCAAACTCTCCATCTCACTCCAAATCATAAAATCCAAAATCATAAATCCATTCAATTTTTCATCTGAGTAACTCGGCCTCGACCTCCGGAGGTAAACAGAGCGTCGCTTCCTCTTCTGTGTCGCTGTCGTCAGACTCGGCATCAGTTCCAGTTAGAATTATTCGGGTCTTTCTGAATCCTGACAGGATGGTTTCAGTGTCACTGAAGGACCTTGGTTTAGACCTGGTTTAGACCTGGATTAGCTCTTGGTTAGCTCTAGTTTAGATCTGGCTTTGACTTGGTTTAATCCAGGTCCTGATTCTGATTAGGGATAGACCTGGTTTAGACCTCAGTTAGACCTAGACTTGGTTTAGGACAGCTTCCAGTTCAGACCTAGTTTAGACCTTGTTCAGACCTTGGTTTAGACTTTGTTTAGAGCTTGGTTAAACCTCGGTTAGACTCAGTTAGACCTTGTTTAGACCTTGGTTTAGACGGGAGATAGACCTGGTTATATTTACCGAATTATATGGGCCTTTCTGAATCCCGACAGGATGGTTTCAATGTCACTGAAGTCCAGGCTTTATCCATCCATCCAGTGACTTCAGGAAAGTTTCATGGAGAGTCCTTCTGGTGTCACAAGTTTCTCTCACTCCGAACTTTCTTTCTGCTGCTCGATTTCCATTTTCAGCTGCTGATTTTCTTTTTGTGGGCATTTGTGTTCAGTCTTCTCAGTCGTCTTTTTAAGTTTGTTTAAATGTTAAATTGTTCAGTGGTACAGAAGTAACGGTGCGATCGACTGACATGATACAGACAGAACAGAGGCTCTTTCTGCAGGAGACATGTGCAGTAGAGTGAAGTGACAGTGGTACAGGAGGAACAGGAGCAGCAGATACTCACACACAAGACTAGAACCTCTCACCACTTCAGTGTGAACATTTTAATATATAAGTCACTCCGGAGTATAAGTCACAGGAAACACCCAAACCATGAAAAAAGTGCGACTTATAGTCTGAAAAATACAGTCTCTAGAAAAATCTGTACATACTCGGATACCTGGAGAACGGAGAGGCATTCAACTGCACGGGGTAAAAAACAGCCAGGCACATATTAGACCTGTGTTTGGAGGTGTACTCACTTGTTTATATCAGCAGCAATGACAAATCCAGCCTGTCCACTGAGCATCCACTGAACACATGTGGCTTTGTTTTGATCCGCTGTGTTAAATTGAAAATGAAAGCTACTAGAGCTTTAATCGAAAGCGGGAAGCACAAAACATGTGACTCGTGGCATATCTGAAAATCAGATCTTTGGTTTTCTGAAACTGTGGTTTATGTATGACAGTCATTTTTGTTTACAAGTATAACTGCAAGGTTTTTGTGCCAAGGTTAAATTACTAGACGCACCTGGCTCCCTGTTCACACTCACTGGGTTCTTTGCCCTGATGTAGACTGGCACATGAGCGCTCTGACAGGTTTTGGAGCAACGATGGTTTGAAGGTCCCAGGTTTGATGCCCAGGTGGTGTGGAGTCTTTATGTGGAACTATTTTGGTTAAATATTCGAGGGATTGTACCTGATTTTAATGCATTCTTGTCAAGATAAATGCTCTTTACATCATGTGTTTGGGTAAATAATAAAAAAAACAACTGTAAAATATAATCTTTTAATTTTACAGAGCGTTTCCTCTGTGTGCAAACTCATACAGAAGCTCCTGATAGGGTCAATTTACATCATCCAATCAGGCGCAGTCAGTGTTGGGGAGTAACAGATTACAAGTACCAGAGTTACGTAATCAGAGTACAAATTATGAGTAACTGTATTCAGTTACAGTTACTGTTTCAGTGAAGGGTAATTAAACTACAGTTACTTGGTTGCAATAAATGGACTACACAGAGGTATTTTCCTGTTTTCACTTTTTTTCCCACATTTCACCAGGACTCAAACCAGGCCCAAAACCAGGCCCAAACCTGGTCTAAAACCAGGGCTAAACCAGGGCTAAAACCAGGGCTAAACCAGGACTAAAACCAGGACTAAACTATGTCTTAAACAGGATTTAACAGGACTAAATCCTGCTGTGTGGACGTGTCTCCTCGTCTTCTATCAGTAATATTTTTAATTTGGTTCAGTAAAGACTGGGCTTTTTATTTTCTTATGTGAAGATTTCCTCGTCTTTGCTTCTCTCCAGCAAATCAAGTAATCCAAAGTATTCAGATTACATTACTCACTTTAAGTAATTTAATGGATTCTGTTACAAACTACATTTTGGGGTGTGTAATCTGTAATCTGTAGGGGAATACATTTTAAAAGTAATCTTCCACAACACTGGGCGCAATGTTACCAAGAATCATGAGAAACTATCCCAGACACTTAATTCTCTTGAAAATGCACCATGAAAAATAAGAAAATAGTAGCAGATACAAAAACTATAAGGAGACAACTGCTCAACACTATCCCAGACAGATGTGTAAAATAAAGTCAGTAGATATATTCTCTAATCTCTCTCTCTCTGTGTGTCTCTACAGGTGGAGATGAAGAAGGTGAGTCACATGACCATGGCCGCTCTCAGACCTGCCTGTGCCTTTCCCTCTGTGTCTTTAGTCACTCACTCTACTCATTTTTACTCATGTTCAAATCATGCTTTATAGTGCGTACAGTAGTGCATAATTAGTACTGCATTCGTCCTGTAAAACATTTTTCTAGACTCTTGAGTTTGCTTTACTTTTTGGTGTCTCCTTTCTGGAAATTACCAGTATTTTCTGCACTACAGGGGCTCTGGATTATAAGACACACTGTCATTGAATGGTCTATTTTTTTCACATATAAACGGCACTGGACTATAAGGTGCATTAAACAAAACACAACAGTTAGATAAGTCAAACTTTATTTAACACCTTCACAGTAACTGTCAACTTTGTTCAATTGTAACTCATAAAAAATTATTGTCTGAGACGCTAAATTGTTCGTGTATTCACAATAAGTCATAATAGTTGAAACAGTTGGGTGATTCCGGCGTCCACACGTCCACATCCCTCTGTCATTCTCCGAGTCAGTGTGGTTACTGTTCCCTGGAGTTCAGTTCAGTGATGATTCTGGTCTTGGTGAAAGCTCAGACCACAGTTGATCCTGATCTTTAGCCCGGGCGTCCACGATCCGTTGGCAGATCAGTGGCTCGGCGCTGTCTCTCTGTCTTGGTGAATGTGTGTTCTCCTTCTCTCATCCACTGCTCCCACACAGCTCACACTTTCACTTTATAACAGCCTTGAGTTTAAAGTGGGCGTTGTGAGCGAGTCTCTTGACAGGTGCATTTTGATATTAAAAGGAATCACACTCTGTATTGCTCCTGATGCTCCTGACTACAGGAGCCGTAATGCTGCAAGTGGAGCGGCTTTGTAGTTTACTAAAGTCGTACTAAGACACACAAATAAATTAATATATAAAACGCTCTGGATTATAAGGTGCACACTCGTTTTTTGAAATTAAAGACTTTAAAATGCGCCCTATAGTGCGGAAAATACGGTAGTTTCCAGTTGTGACTCAGTGGCATCTGTCCTTGGGCACTGCACTTTGTTTCACTAGAACCTTATAATCTATACCTTTAATCTGCATTTCCAATATTCACATCAGCCCTCAGGGAGGCACCAGCTTCTCTCCTGTGACGTCTGCCTTGGTTCATGTATTGTTGTGCTCTGTCCTTTAACTGAAAGCAGCCCACACTACCACTCACTACCTACTACCACACCACTCAATACATCCATGTGCTACTTCTGTAGCCACTGCTGCCCTGGGACAGACTGATAGAACTGAGGCTACTAGTCTGCACCACTGGCCTGTTGTACCGCCACCAACACACACCCGCACACCAAAATCAGGCGATACGAGTGAAGCATCTTGCCCAAGGACACAACATCAGTTTGCATTGGTCTGAGCTGGAGTCTGAGGAGCAAATCAAACACATTGTAAAGCAACATTGTGTCTGGAAAAGTGCTTTATTGGACTAATGCTTTACTATTAAATGGCATCAGTCCTGTACACAGCCCTCTGCCACACTCTCTCACACCTGTACACACACTCTGCACACCTGTACACACACTCTGCACACCTGTACACACACTCTGCACACCTGTACACACACTCTGCACACCTGTACACACACTCTCACACCTGTACACACTCTCTGCACACCTGCTCTCTGCACACACACACACTCTCACACCTGACACACCTGCACACCTGTACACACACTCTCTGCACACCTGTACACACACTCTCACACCTGCACACCTGTACACACACACACTCTCTCACACCTGTACACACACACTCTGCACACCTGTACACACACACACTCTCTGCACACCTGTACACACTCTCTGCACACCTGTACACACACTCTCTGTACACCTGCACACCTGTACACACTCTCTGCACACCTGTACACACACTCTCTGCACACCTGTACACACTCTCTGCACACCTGTACACACACTCTCTGCACACCTGTACACACTCTCACTGCCACTTGGGGCCTGGACCAGAATAGCAAACTGTTTTTTTAGCCCATTCTTGCTTTTATCTCTAAATGATCTAAGCTGAAGTCAAAATGTGTTGATAAAATGAACGTTCAGTGAGGATATTCTGCCGGCATGCACATGGTTGACTTGTCTTCATCATCCTTTGTCTGTCTCTGGCACACGGAATAAACCTGAGTAGAGAAAAGCAGAGTATAAACCAATAGAGGTTGAGCAGGGTGCAAATGTAAAACTTAGCGACCGCCTGTCCTTCCCTTCACCTGTGTCATCCCTGTGTGAATGCCTCTGTCCATCTCCACCCCTCCTCTAACTCTGTGTCTCTACTCTTTCCAGTGTAATGCTAAGGTCCTGTGTGGACTAGAGCTGGATCCTCTCTCCTCTTCTTCTCTGTGCTCGGCCTAACCTGTTGGACGTTTGTGCTAACCCTGTCTGCTAACTGTAACTGTGTTAAATAGAGGAGAAGCTACAATGCTAAATGCTAAAAGTTGTGTTTGCTGGATGTTTTTTGTTGAAATCTCCAAATGTATCCCAAATGTGAACTGATGGGCCTGATTTTACTGGTAGTGCTGCCCTGAGCCATGTGCTTCAGTTGTCTTTGCCTGTTGGGTCAGTCCATTTGAAATCAGCCGCCCTCCCCTATGAGCCGTCTCAGATTTGGCTGGTAATTTTAGAAATGTTTTGGAATTTTTTCAAATGAAAGAATCTCAAATTTTAGCTCAATCCCTTGAGTCGTTCCTGAGTTCTGGCCTGTTGAAATTTTTGGGCCACACTCACTTTTTCTGAAGCCTTAATTTATAAGCACGTTTGAGAGACCAGAACTTCATAAAAAATAGAGCTAGAAGCTGTATTATTATAGATTCTTGGTCATAGATTCTAAATCTGTTGTTAAATATTGTGTATCTTTATTAAGGGGGGCGCTGTGGGCCCCCAAAATCTCACATTTGGTTGCTGCTTAAATTTTTTTTCAGTTTTTGAGGTCCAAGATCTATTTACTCCAAGCAGATATTTACAAACTAACTGTTGAACCTGAATATTTAAGAGAATGACCATTTCTGACACAAATCTCACACTTTTCTGAGCTTTCATGTGGATGGAGTAGAGTCCCAAATATGGTCACAGACCAAATATGATCTTTTTGGCCCCACTCGGTTCCCCATGTGGACACAATTAGATGTTGATAAAATTTTTACCAGAGAAACTTTGGCATATTCTGATTAGATGTTTTTATTGCTTTAAACTACTATTAACTTCCTTCATTTCAAACTGAAGTTTTGAAAATGAACTCTCACAGGTCATTTTTGGTGGAGCTTAGGGACTTTTCCACCTGCAGAAAGGTTCAATTCCCTTTAATAGACTTGAACACTATTTGCTTGTTATAATGGAAGACAATTGGAGATTATTTGTGGTAGATTGCTTGGAAAAGTGTCATTAAAACTTTGAGAAAATTCACCCTTTAACTCTGTACAAAATTATGAAAAAAAAGGTTTGTTTGCATTATTTATTCTATTTTTATTTAAGATAATTTGTTATCTCACACAGAAACAGTTTTTCATGATGTATAAGTAAATAAATAATACAATACAATACAATACAATACAATAATACACATTTTCAGCTTCCTAGCTCTATTTTGTATGAAGTTCTGGTCTCTCAAACATGTTTATAAATTAAGGCTTCAGAAAAAGTGAGCATAGCCCCAAAATTTCAACAAGCCATAACTCAGGAACGACTCAAGGGTTTGAGCTAAAATTTGAGATTCTTTCATTTGGTGATTTAAAAAATTTGTACAAAAATTTTCAGCCAAATCAGAGTTGGCTCATAGGGGAGATTCCTTGAAAACAGCTGATTTCATATGGACTGACCCTGTTGACATTGTGCAATTTTAATAAACAATGGAAAATTTAAAATACGTAGCAATTTTCAAGGATGGATCATTGTTCAGTTTGATAGAATAGACCTGTAGTGTATACATTGTACTGGTACCTGCATTCATCTTGATGTCCAAAGTGAAAAAGAAAATGATAATTTTAGAAGACTCCACTCAGCGAATTTGCGAATCGTAGGATGGTTGGGGAAGGTACCGTGAAAACGTCACCTCACATTCGTCGCTGAGCCGATGCCTTGCATGTTTTCACATTCCCTCACACACACTGCCTTCGCACACACTCATTGTACCTCGTTCTTTTTCTTTTACTCTAAGCGGGGAATCTGTACAAAATAAATCTCTGTTTTAGATTTTATCTTCTTACACAACCTTCTAGAAATCTTCAAAATTCCTCTTCTAGAAATGTTCAAAGTGTGGCTTGTACTGGTGGCCAACACGGCAAATGAACGAGTGGACACAGCCGGAGCTTAAACATCACACACCAACACATAGAACTGACCGTGTCCAGATCAACACTTGTTCAATAATGTCAGTCATGTTTGATTTAGACTGTGGTGTCAGAGCCTGTGTAAAGTTGGAAATGAGGGAGAAGCGACATCAGGATCAATCATCAGGCTCATTTAATAATCCAGTTAAATGGGGAGAAATAGGTCTGGAACAGAGTGAGAAATGGAATGTCTATGGCACACGGCGGTGGAGTAATATTAACATGATATTCACTAGCTCGGACTACACCAACAACAACATAGTGCGAAGAAGTTTATTGATAATGTACGAAGCAGGGCAGAGATGGTTGGGTTGAGACCCTAGGTGGGGGCTCCGTCTCAATCTGCAATTGGCCCAGCCGGAATGAAAGACAAAATAGGGCAGGTGTGTCCAAACTTTTTTCATCAAGGGCCACATAACTAAACAGAGATGAAGCAGAGGACTGATCGAGGCCGTACACTGGTGCTCGATACAGTGAATAATAACACATTAGAATGAGCCATCAGTCTTTATTCATTCTAACATTCTTAAAACCACACACTAAATATTAAAAGTAAGTAAAAAATATTACAATTTACCTGGAAGTCTGAGGGCCAAGAAAGATTTGTCTGAGGGCCGTATTTGGCCCATGGGCCATAGTTTGGACATGCCTGAAATAGGGGGTGGGAGGGTGGGGTCGAGTTCACCGAGACAAACTGGGATGATGGGAAAGGCTGCTACATATAGGCTTCTGGGAAATTGGAGGTGTGGTCGAGGTGAGTTGTGGTTCACTGGTGAGAGGAGAGGGCGGCTGAGGCCTGGTCCTGCTCCTGAATCTCACTTAATCATATTAACTACATATAATGAACAGAGTCAGCACAGAGTTCTTTAAGGCTCCTGAGGTGATTGAGGTGATGAGACAGAGAGGTGACCACAGATGTCTTCTAACTTGTGTCCTGCTTAACAACGGCATGAGGGTCATGAATCTATCATTTCAGTTTGTTTTTTTTATTATATGAAAAAATCTAAATGCAATTACAATGCAATACAAAGCATGTTCATGAATAAGATGTAAAGACACAAAACCAGTCCACCAACCCTGAACGTGAGACGACGTTTTCATGACCAAATGAAATAACCAACCGGAGGAAATGATTAACAATCTAATCGTCAAGTGTTGTCATGTTTCAACTGCTGCTGCTGTCTTCAGAACTGTCACCAACTGTGGCAAAATGAACTTCTTTGGTTTAATGAGAGCCATTCTAGCCAATCAGAGGTGAGAAAGGCGGTCCCTCCTCTACCATCCTACGATTCACAGATTCTCCTCCAGTCATATTCCAATCATTTTTCCTGGAGGCTTCACTAAACCAGGGTGAAGGATCATGGTCTATGTAGTTCTCTCTGTTTGTGCTAAAACACAGTTCAGGCCTCTAATAAATGTATTCTGAGTTGATATTCCGACACTTGTTGCGTCCCTTTATCGTTTTTGGCCTGGTGCCGTGCTGTCACACTGCAGTTTGACTTGGGCCGTAGCTTGTTGGTGATGGTAAGAACCTACATTTCTCTCTGTCTCTGTCTTTAACCTGCACTGCTTCCTGTTGGCCATTGTCCTGATCCTGCTTGTGTCTGTCTTCTTCCTCTTTTTGTTTGCATGTTTCAAATCTTTTCTCTATCACTAATCCCTCCAATATGTGCCTTTTATGTTTCAACCTTATGCTAGCCATCATATTCAAGTCTTTAAAGTTTTTATTTTATTTTATTTTTTTACCTTTGATATAAAAGGTTGGATACTGAAGCATTGGTATTATCTTTCACTTTCCCTTGGTTTAAGTGTTAATGCCCTCAGCTGGCATTGGGGGGAGTGAAAAAACTGCCAGCATCACTAATATTGACATGACCCTACTAAAGGGTTCATCATAACAAGTACAGGGCTGAAATGAAACATGTAAGAACAACACTGTCAGATAACTACCGCAGGTCTGTTTCTGTGGAGCTAACATTTCTGCCCTACGAAGGCAAATGACCTTAACTCACCACAGTGTGAAACTGAGAAAAAAGACTTCAAAGTTTGTTTTGTCCAGACAAAAGTAGAAGAGGTAGGGCTCAACTAGTTGCTATAATGAAGAAATATTTGTATGCAAAAAAATATAGAGTTCAAAATTGACCTTTGACCTTATTTGTGAGTTCCTGTTCTCTGCCTTTGTCAAATGCAGAAACTGACATGATTATTTAGATAAAGTAAGAGAGGTAGAGCACTTCACTGGGTCTTAAAAGAGTAAAAATAACAGTACAGGTGCTGTACGAGGGTTAAGACAGTGGTCTTGGAACAGAAAATTACTCTTACAGGAAAATGTAAAAATGGGTAAGGTACAAAGATGGTCCAGCAAGATGGTCTTCGAAGACCATCTTGCTGGTCAAAACGCGTTGGCGACCCTTCATGTAATAAAGGATTTTTAATATATTCAGTCAGAGTGCCTCGGGTTTGTACCTTACCCATTTTAACTTTTTCCTGTAAGGGTAATTTTCTGTTCTATGACATGATCATTATTTGGTTGATTTTGATCCATTATAAGAACACATGACCAAGCTCCAGTCATCATGTGTTTGTTTGAAATGATCTAGAAGAGCTTTGGATTTCCTTTTTAAAGCTGATCAACACTTCCACAGTGAAACTGTTTGACACAAGTGACTTTGCAGTAAAGTGTGTAGAGTATGAATAAATACACACAATACTTTCACATTAAAGATCACTGAAGTATAATTGAATACAAAGGTTTATTTATTTAAAGTGTTCAGACCCTGTGCCAAGGCCGCAACAAAAAGAAATAGGCCAGAGGTTGGATTTTAAAAGAAAATATATTTATGAACTAAACCCCAAACAAAACATAGACTGATACTGCCTTTGGCCTTTGCACGAAAACTTATTTTTGGCTCATGATACAAAAGCAGAGAACAGGAACTGACAAATAAGGGCCAAAGCTCAATATTTTCATGATTTTTATTCACATGATAAACAAACAAAATGACATGAACTCATTTTGGATCAAACCAGATGTTACGGCGTTGTGCCTTTGTAGGACAGATTTATCATGCTTAAAAATGACCATGGTATAATGTTGTTTTCTTCACCTAAAACATTCCTTAGTTATGGTTTCATTTCTGCATGTGTGTGCACCTCTAGGCACACACATGCATCAGAACGTGCGGTCCCACTGCATGATGTCATTTGGTGGTAATCCAGTGTTTGGGTATTTAAAGCCCCTTCAGCTTCACCATACTCCCAGTGATTATTTCAGTGTTGCTTGCATTGGTCATTTTTACCACCTCAGAGAACCAGCAGGTGGAGTCCTTCTGCTCTCTGCACTTTCTGTATTTTTTCTTTAACTGAAATGGCAGAACTGAGTTGCTTTGGGTTTCTATACACACACCCCTGCTCTTTATCTATAATATCAATGCTAAAGTGTCCAGAACATAGACTGTACATATATAGGCATGTCCAAATGGGGAGTGAGCGTGGGCATCGTTGGCTCAGTCGGCTCAAATTCACTTTCTAGTTTTTATTTGACTATTTTTGTGCCTAAATCAAGATACAAACATTAAAAACAGACCAATCAGTTTGGTGTATTGTTGTGCACTGTCCCTTAAAAAATGAAAGCAAACTACACCGTTCCTCATTCATCACTAACACCAGCCAAACCAGTGGTGTGAGCCTGAAGGAGCGAATACCTTCAATATCCTTGCTCCTGATTGGCTCTTTGTTGCTCTGATTTGTATATATCGACTTCAAATTAGCTTTAATAACTTCCAGCTTTAATATGCGTCATTTGGCTGGAGCTGGACGCTATGGGCGCACACCCCATCAGTCCACTTCTATGTACAGTCTATGGTCCAAAAGTAGTTTTAACAGCCTGAAGAGGATCCTGATCCTAAGGCTATATTTTCAAAAAAAAGTACAGCACCAAACCTACTGTACCTTTGCTCTATGGCTCTTGTTTTGCAGAGGAAGAGGAGGCCGCTGCTGAGGAAGAGGCCGCTGAGGAAGAGGCTGCTGAAGAGGCAGAAGAGGCAGCCGCAGAGGAGGAGCCTGCAGCCGAGGAGGAGCCTGCAGTAGAGGCAGAGTCTGCAGTGGAGGCTGCGGAGGAGGCCCCTGCGGCTGCGGAGGAGGCCCCTGCGGCGGTGGAGGCCCCTGCGGCGGAGGAGGCCCCTGCGGCGGAGGCCGTGGAGGAGGCCCCTGCGGCGGAGGCGGCCCCTGCGGTGGAGGTGGTCGTGGAGGAGGCCCCTGCGGCGGAGGCGGTTGTGGAGGAGGCCCCTGTGGCGGAGGAGGCCCCTGCGGCGGAGGAGGCCCCTGCGGCGGAGGCGGTCGTGGAGGAGGCCCCTGCGGCGGAGGCGGTCGTGGAGGAGGCCCCTGCGGCGGAGGCGGTCGTGGAGGCGGCCCCTGCGGTGGAGGCGGCCCTGCGGTGGAGGCGGCCCCTGCGGTGGAGGCGGCCCCTGCGGTGGAGGCGGCCCCTGCGGTGGAGGCGACCCCTGTGGTGGAGGCCCCTGTGGTGGAGACGGCCGTGGAGGAGGCCCCTGTCGTGGAGGCTGTTGTGGAGGCCCCTGTTGCGGAGGCGGCCCCTGTGGTGGGAGCCGTGGAAGCGGTGGCGGCGGAGGTTGTCTCAGAGGTGGCCGAGGTAGTGGCAGAGGTGGCGCAGGAAGTGGAAACTGTGGCGCAGGAAGCGGTGGTGGTGGCGCAGGAAGTAGAGACTGTGGCGGAGGAAGTGGCTAAAGTGGCCGCGGCCGTGGAGAAGGCGGCAGAGTCTGTGGAGAAGGCGGCAGAGGCGGCACCAGTCACTGAGGAGCCTGGAGCGAACGGTACGAGCACATGTGAGGAGGCGGCCTGAGCTCGCACACACACGCATCCATCCTCACCAGCCCCAAACTCTCTGTACACCACTCAACCCAATGGCCGTTAGGCTGTTGTAATTCCGTCTACAGGTAGACACTTAAGGGAAACTGGCTTTGGGAAACTATAGTATTTATGGATTTGGAGGCTCCCTGTTTCGCTGCTACTTACGGTCATGTAGATCTGCCAGCTGTGTTAGGTTCAAACATTTTAAAGTGCCAGTATTATGCTATTTTCTGATCTGTATATGTTGTTTCCGTGTCAGAAACAGACCTGAAGTTTTTCATTTCATTCACACGTTTAACACACAAACCCTGCGTATTTAGGCTCACATCTAGTCTCAAACGGAAAACTCTGTTCCTCCTTGTGATGTGTATTAATCCAGGAAGTCCTCCACTGTCTTTTTAAACTCCACAGACAGAATCATTTAGAGAATTCCGCCCTGAATTGCACATCTTTATGAAACAAAAAAAGGTAAAAGGAGCTGTTAACTTGAAAGGTGGAACAGTTGTCTTATCCTCAAACATTTTGAGCTTTACAGATGTGAACAGACTAATCATAAATGTGTAAATTAAATAAAACACAACTCCAGGCAAGGCTGGATTATCCATATGGGCCAGTGGCACGGTGCCCAGGGGCACCAACCATTTACAGCCAGTGAGGGGGCACCACATGTCACAAACTTTAAAAATATTTTATGTTAATTTGTATGTTATTCAAAACATACTGCCCCACACTGGCCCCACACTGGCCCCACACTGGCCCCACACTGGCCCCACACTGGCCCCACACTGGCCCCACACTGGCCCCGACTCCAGGTATATTTTTGAGGAGGTAACAACATTCTACCCTGGCTTAAAGCTCCCCAGTATCAATTTTGCGTAATATAGGACTTTAGATTTAATAAATTAATAAATTAATTCACATAAAGGTGCATAAAAGTATATACGACACCATTTTTTGATGATTTTACAAGATTTTTTAATTAAGAAAAAAATGTCAACCCTATTAAATAAAGTTTCAAAGTATCTTCTATTACAGATATACTGTAAAGAAAATCTGTGTAGCACGACACTAAAATGAACATCTACTCAGCTGGCAACAACATGCTTCCGTAAAACTCACACCTTTCAGGGCATTCTTTTCTGTCTTTTCATACTGTAACGTTGAAATGAATTTCGGGGCACCAATCTCACTGTGATGTTTTAGGATTTCTGCTGTGAATTAGCGTGTGTGTGAAGTAGTGTGTGCCAGCATTCGCCTGTTGTAAAGTAGGCTACTTGAATTTAGTTTTGCCACTGTGCTCAGGTGTAATATTTCAAATACTCTCTCACAAATTGCTATAACATCCAACCCTCCATGTGCTACTTCACTGCGGCAGCCAGATGAACTTTGCTGTCTTTTGAAGAGTTGCCTGAGACTGTACTCGATCCTTCCTGTGTGTTGTCATGTCAAGCTGTAGCTAAACACCATTGAGATATTTATTTTCATTCTTCATGTGATGATGAGCTTTGTAAACCATTTGTGTGAGAACCCATAAAGCTAAATTCCTAAGCGTGCCCGTAGTCCCATTATGTTTGAAAGTGATTAATTCTGTCAACAATTTGCAACAGCCGTCAAATAAAGTTTTTGCTTTACTAAATTTTGTCTGAATTTGGATTTGCGCGCACACGGAACATTTATTTCTTCCAAACTGATACTTTGCTAAAATAGATTACAATAATGACTAATGAAAGTATTAATGCACAAATAGCTAACATTAACTAACGCAACAGAACACTGCAACATAAAAATATAAATTCTGTTTTTATGCAGAGTCCTGTGAGCACATGGCACTGGTGATGGTTTTACCTTTACACACGTCATGAACATGACCTCCACACTCAGTACTTTCCAGGCAACACTCTTAACCCTGAAGCTGAAGTCCTCTGCTGCGACTCCTTTACTGATCTTTGGGTGGATGGATTTTCTGTTGCAGTGGTGCTGGCAGCTGCCTCTACTCTGGAGGGGGCTACAATACACGCTGTACAAGAAGAGGCCCCTACACTTCCCCCTGAGGGTCAACCTAAGCAAAGTGAAGAGGCTCCAGCTGAAGTAGAACCTGTCCCTGTGGAGGTGGCCCCTGTGGTGGAGGAAGCACCAGCAGTACCTGCCCCTGTAGTGGAGGAGGCCCCAGCTGCAGCAGAACCTGCCCCTGTGGTGGAGGAGGTTCCAGCTGCAGCAGAACCTGCCCCTGTGGTGGAGGAAGCACCAGCAGAACCTGCCCCTGTGGTGGCGGAGGTTCCAGCTGCAGCAGAACCTGCCCCTGTGGTGGAGGAAGCACCAGCAGAACCTGCCCCTGTGGTGGCGGAGGTTCCAGCTGCAGCAGAACCTGCCCCTGTGGTGGAGGAGGTTCCAGCTGCAGCAGAACCTGCCCCAGTGGTGGAGGAAGCACCAGTTGAACCTGCCCAAGCGGTGGAGGAGGCCCCAGCCACAGTAGAAGCTGCCCCAATAGAACCTCCCCCTGTGGTGCAGGAGACCCCTGTAGAACCTGCCCCTGTAGAAGAGGCCCCAGTAGAACCGGCCCCTGTAGAAGAGGCCCCAGTAGAACCGGCCCCAGTAGAACCTGTTGCTGTGGAGGAAGCCCAAGTTGCAGTGGAAACAGCCCCAGTTGTAGAAACTGTGAATGTGCCAGTGCAAACAGCTAAGGACACTGTAGCGGAAGTTGCCAATAGAGAGTACCTTGTTGTAGTTCTTGAAGGAGCTCCCAAATCAGAGCAGAGGCAGAGGGTGCTCGGTGTGGGTCCAATGACCGGAAGAATTATCCCAGCTCCAGATGATGATGACGCTCCCTCCCAGGTAAATGACTCACTGTAATCAACGGGGTGTAAACATCTGAACTGTGACATTCAGTTACTGTCGTAGTGTGTACACCATAGCTCACAGAAAAGGCGGAACTGGCACAGATTTTCAGACCAAATGTTCAATCATGTGTTTATCGTGTATGCCAAATTAATCTTCACATTAGCTCCAAGCAGCACGGAAGGTTCATGCACATTCCATCCCTGCTGTTACATCCAGTCTCTGCTTAAAAATACTGGTTTTAGTAACTTGGTTAGCATTAGGTAGACCTGTAGGTATGGTGCTGTTATGGTGGTCACACTCAAAGACAATTATTTTCACTTTTTGCCTCTCAGGGAAAACGTCGCCTTCTTAGGATTCAAATGCAGTAATTCTACTCAAGGTAGTAAGTCTTTACTGATTTTTCTATCCACCTTCCCATACTAACTAAAAGTACTGTGGTGACAAAATGACCACAGATTTTTAGTCTGTAACGAATCACTTATTATTAAATCATTATTTCCTTCATCCAGTCAACAAAAGTGTGACATGTGACTTTGATTTTGTCCTGAGATGCACACTGAAGGAACTCACTCCAGGTTGAAGAATTACAGCCTTTTAAATCTTTTATTTTTAACAACATCACAATAGTCCCATTTATATCCCATTTATGTCCCATGTGACAACCCACCTCAGGCGCTGTGAAAAAAGAGGCTCCAGCTGACCAGCCACGACTGTGAAGCTGAAGCCGTTTTGTTTGTGAGCTAACAGACAGCTGGATTCAGAACTTTTTTTGCTTGATATTTAATTTTTTTGAAATCTTCTCACCCAAAAGCTGCAAGATAAATCAGGCCCACAGTAAAAGATAAACTCTCATTGGAAAAATATTGGGTCAGAATAAGCAGAATGATGTTGGCTCAAAACATACCACAGCGCCCCCTGGTGTGGTCAACTTGAAAACCGACCATAGACTGTATATATAAATGGACATAAGTAGCCGCCACTTTCCAAACAGGAAGTTCGCATGCTGCGTTTCCGGCTCCTTCTTACTCTGGCTTCCATTGACTTACATTAGAATATCGTCACTTCTCTCTCTGTAAAAGCTGCAATAAGCCTTCGTCATTTTGGTTATAAAATGTTCATATTAATCCGCTCTAAATTATCCTTGTGTTTTCATTTCTCTATTTTGTCTGTCCAAAAATCCTATCAATAATATCGAGCCGAACTCGCTTAGTCCACTTTTTATACAGTCTATGCAACCAACCCAATGTTTAATGATGTTCAACTCATTTCATATTGTCAACATGAAGCTTTTGTCACTTGTAGTAACTGTGCTGAAAGTTGTTTAAGTATGAACATGAGGTCTGAAAACTAAAATGTTATTACAAAGTTACTCGCAGAGACTTTTTTTCATAACCATCCGATAACAGGCTTTTTTTTCTACAATGAGAAAATGCCTGTGGACTTAAAGGTTGTACAGAGGATTTTTTAAGGGAAGAGAAGTACAGCGACAGTGGATGTGCATGTGGGACACCACCTTAATCCTCCACAGCTCCCTCAGTAGAAACATCTCCTCCCACTTCTTTACTCTAGAAGTCACACTTGTTTACAGCCAGTGTGTGTTCAGAATTACTGTTGAAGTGACCTGTCTAGAAGTAATTTAGCGACCGATGCATCAGTTTTTAGATCCTTCGTCTGCTTCACTCGCGCAACTGCGCTTTGCTCCTTTTCCCCATCTCTTCGTCTTTCAGCGACCTCATAAACCGACTTTCTTTTGCGGTGAACTGGTCGTGGATTCTCGTCCGCCATTGCGACAAACTTTGTGAGAAATGTGAGGAAGCTACACTTTGAAAAAGCCTCTAAGAACTGCTGCATAAACCACGTAATTCCTGCACGCTGGCAAGTCAGTTACACTAAGGAGTTTGATTGACAAACTAACAGCCAATAGAAAATGAGCCTGAGTATTTATTGGCTGATGTTTATCTGGCCTCACTACGTCCACAATTGATAGATTTTCATTCTTTTTTTTTTTTTTTTGGTCATCATAATTACAAGGCTGCTGCGTCTCTGTAACAGTATTTTAAACGTTCATTGACAATTTGAAACAAAAAAAAAATCCTCCATACAACCTTTAAACTCTAAACTTCAGGAGGACTAAAGGGGAGAGTGAAGGGGGAGGAGGGGTGGGGTCTGGTGGTATAAGGAACTGTGTAATTGGCCAAACGGTATCTCTACATCAAAGTCCGCCCCTGCAGCCACGTGTTTGCATCAGAAACACATGGCTGTAATCAGGACAGTGCTGTGTGATGTCACCAACTACTGGAAATCGCAGAGGCCATTAGAACATTTTGGACCCGAAAGCTGCAAATGTGCCTAGTTTCCAAACATTTCCAAACAATAACTAGGGATATTAGATGGTGCTATTAAAACACCATGAAGACAGCTTAGTAGCGCAAGTGGTTTTAGTTCAGTTCCACTTTAACTGCAGAGTACTTGTAGTAGTTTAGAGTCGGGCTTAGGAAGTAGTAGCCAAAATGATGTCTTGATGTTTTTCCTATCCGTTCTATTGCAGTAACCATCTGCTGAAGGACCGCTTTGCTGCTGTGCCTTCACAAACCCCAGCATGGACCACAGACCCGTCACTCTGGATCACTCTACACTGCCCTACAGTTCACCAGCCGGCTTTCTACTGTTACACACGGGACACTTTTATACCTCTTTTAGACCTACTCACCTTACGGTCTAACTCTAGGTGAATGGATTTACTTCCGTGGGATTTTTTCAACGTTTTCTACACTCCTCAGGATTCAGAAGTCAATACCTGTGCTCTAGTTAAAAACTGTTTGGACTCTCGCTGGATCACCACAAGGTCAAAACAGCCCGATGGGTGAAAGAAGAAACCTGAAACACTCTGATGTATGCTTATTATTTATTTAATTTATTAAGCAAAATCGTCTTTCGGGAGCTTTCTATCACCATGGCCTTATTATACATGCGTTCTATGGTTATTCGCCTTTAAACGTGGTCTTGAGTACCTTTACTTTAGAACTGCAGGATTTAGAACTTAAAATAATGCCTAATTAAAAACAAACTGACATAATTTCACAGCCTCAGCACTCCCTATACTCTGATCTGGTGCAGCTTGCCATAATTGCCAGAAAAAAATTTATGATGAGTTTAAAAACTTGTTTCTATTTCATCACAATTCCGGGAAGTTTCAAACTGAGTATTATTGAAACCAGGGTGAACGAAGCTATAAGGTATAGTTTTGATGGGAAAACAATTTTGTAACATGGTTAAAAGCTCCAAAAAGTCAAATTTGCATAATATATGTGTCCTTTTAATGAGCTCGGACTACTGTGACCAGCGTGTTTATAATGTGTGGCCATTTTCTTTGACTTTGTGGTGATCCAAGCAAGGGCCCCAACAAATATTTTCAATACCTCTTTACTTTTCCTTTTGTACAATGTCAGTATGCACCCAGACCTCTCTACCTCAGCCTTTCTCCAGACACTATTCCACACCCAGTGTCAATCGACTGGACACGGTACAGTATTTGACCCGATCTCATCACTGCTCCTCTTTAGGTTAGAAAAGGGATGGTTTTCTAATGATTTGTGAGGGATGTATAAGGGAAATGAAAGGCTGAATGGCTCAAGCAAGTACAATAATGTGAATGTGCAGAAGTGACGCAGCTCTGTATTTTGTATGTTTTGTGCGTTAAAAGAATGTGAGAAGAGGGCTTATGGGATTTTTAGCTGCATGTGTATTCATAAATGTCTAGGCTCTGTGCAGCAGGTGTCACTGTGTAGTAGTAACATTATGCTTTCATGTTTGTGCTCATTTGCGTTGGAGCTCAGGCTCACACAAATGTTTGAATGTTTTGTAAAAATAAATAAGAATTTGAGCCTTTTAAATGTTTTGAATGAATTTTTGGGGTATAATGGGAGTTTTGTGAGTCATGTTATTTCAAAGTTTAAAGTTAAGTCTAGCAGAACTTCAGTGGATTTCACATTGAAGCTCATTAAGAAAGGGCCAAGGGTTTGCACACTTTAAGGAAAATGAATATGAAATATTTAGTTATTTACTTAGTCATTTTACTTTCTTTTCTCTGCTACATAATTCCCTATATCTTGCTTTATAAATGAGAAAGTAGTAAACACAAAAAGAAAAAGCTCTGAATAAAAAGGTGTGTCCAAACTTTTCACTAATTGTGTATATTTATTCCAGTTGAATGATGATTATATGGTAATCCATCAGGAATGTGCTAGAACATGTTGGTACATTTCTTAGATGAGGTTGGATTACTGCATACCACTGTCCACAAAAAGTTTCAAAAATATCTCATTCTCAATATTCAGATTTTGGGTATCTCCAAAACATTGTTATGCAGTATTTGTATACATTTCTTACAGTCCCATTTGTGCTTTATGGCCTAAAGCTCATTAGCCTGATTCATCAGCCGGTTTCACTAAATTTCACTTTGTACAAACCATCTGACCCCGCAGTTTTAGAATTCGTTTGCTCTACGGAAGGCAGATACCTTTAATCATTTAACCAATCACTGCTTTTTGGTAGTCACGTATGTAATGCGCCACTAACGGGGCTAACTGATATATTAAGCTTTTTCCAAATCCCGTAGGAAGAAGGACAATAACGTCTTTCCCCTTGATGAAGTTCACCAAACATTCTCTTTGTTTCCGGCTTTAAATCCTCGATCTTGGGAATCATTGACAACACTGAATATATGGCTCTTTGGTGATTGGCTGGTGCCCAAGCTTGCACTTCTGGGGTTTTTGTGAGCTGTCTAGTGTATTTTGATTCCTGACCTAGTTCCTGGAAAGAAATGAAACTGAGCGCAGGCACTAGGTGGCGCCAGTTTGGCTACAAGTTCATTGTCTTTGCCAGAATTTCTGAGATGTGTACCCTGTAGGCCTACAGGAGTATCCCATATCAACCAGGAGAACCACTGGCCTTTTATAAAATAGGCTCAAGGTCACATGTCCTGACTGCACTCTCTGAACTTCTGATGAGAATCAATAATGAACATGTATATAACTCTTACATGCACAGGAAGCATGGGGAGGAGAGTTCACTCTGATATTACACTTTTTCATAGGCAGATTCAGATCTAACCAAGAGGTTTGATATAAACTAAACACATATGCTCTAGTGTTTTATCTGTAGTGTTATTTGAATAGATCTGTGGCAGAATGTAGTGTATGTATATTCTGCAGTGTGTTATTTGAATAGGTCCACAGTAGAGTGTAGTGTGTAGTGTATGAGTTGAACAGATCCATGGTAGTGTATAGTGTGTAGTGTGCAGTGTGTAGTGTATAGTGTGCAGTGTGTAGTGTGCCATTTGCAGTGTATAGTGTGTAGTGTGCAGTGTGTAGGGTGCAGTGTATAGTGTGTAGTATGCAGTGTGTAGTGTGTAGCGTATAGTGTGTAGTGTGCAGTGTGTAGTGTATAGTATGTAGTGTGCAGTATATAATGTGTAGTGTACAGTGTGTATAGTGTGTAGTGTACAGTGTGTAGTGTGCAGTGTATAGTGGGCAGTGTGTAGCGTATAGTGTGTAGTGTGCAGTGTATAGTGTGTAGTGTATAGTGTGTAGTGTACAGTGTGCAGTGTATAGTGTGTAGTGCGCAGTGTGTAGTGTATAGTATACAGTGTGTAGTGTGCAGTGTGTAGTGTGTGCAGTGTGTGTGTATCGTGTGTAGTGTATAGTATGTAGTGTATAGTGTGTAGTGTGCAGTGTGTAGTGTGCAGTGTAGTGTGCAGTGTGTAGTGTGTAGTGTGCAGTGTGCAGTGTGTAGTGTGTAGTGTGCAGTGTGCAGTGTGCAGTGTGCAGTGTGTAGTGTGCAGTGTGCAGTGTGCAGTGTGCAGTGTGCAGTGTGCAGTGTGTAGTGTGCAGTGTGCAGTGTGCAGTGTGCAGTGTGCAGTGTGCAGTGTGTTGTGTGCAGTGTGGACTGTGGAGGCGCTGTGGTCTGGGCGTGTGTGACGTCAGCACGCAGTGTTTGAGCGCAGAGCGTAGACTGTAGCTTGAGTACTGTGTACTGTGTACTGTGTACTAGGCGGGCGCACAGCTCCAGGACTGACAAACACACACGTTTGCCTGTGCAGACCGTGACCACGATCACAACCGGACTTTCCTGCACGGCCCGGCTCGTCTCTGCAGATCAGACCGCGCTGGGCGCCTCTGACACGGGCTAAAGCCGGAGCAGAGCCGCGGCCTCGGACACACGGCTAACCGCGGCTAGCGCAGGCCCGGAGCACTAGCTTTACGGAGCTTACTTTTCACCGGCCAAAGAAAAACAAGGTACGATCCGTGTGTGTGCTGTTTTTACTCATGATCTAGTGTCTGTTATGTACAGTTTACCGGACTTTACCCACGGCCCGGGTTTGTTCACCAACTATCTCTCCAACTCACGTCAGGAGCAGCATGCTAACTGTTATCCACCAACTCCCGTTTCACACAATATGGACATAGTTTCCTCAGACTTTTATGTGCATTATTACAGATACCATTTATTCTAAGTACTTAATCCGCTTAGATATGCAACAGTTTGTGGCCACGTGTAACGTTAAAACGGAACCCTGGCCTTAAGTTGGCCAAGTTTTGCAGCAGTGTTAGCATTAGCCTCCTGAAGCTAATGTTGTATCCGCTCTCAAAGTAAACAGCAGAGACAGAGACAGCGGCTGCACACACTGTCAGTCCCCTGTTTGAGACACTGCCCAATTTGCGTCAAAACTAGATCTGCGCATGCCCAGATGCTTCTGCACAAGCGCACAAACACTTGTCACTTTCTATGGCAACACTTAAACGGACAAACTACATGGTATATGCCATCTATTTTAAATTTTCATTAAATTAGGTCGAGACACAAAGCAGGATAATCCCAGTAAACCAATTTAAATACTGTATCATTAATAGGTCTGCGCTGCAACAGATATCAGAATGAATCAATAATTAACCCCAGAAGGTATTTATCCTACCCTCCACTGCTCAAATCTCGTGTTATTTCATCAAAATGGCAAAAATCTCTCCGCTTCTGCAAAGAAATTGTACACACAATAAATACGAGCCACGAAATATAACTTTCCATCATTCATATCCTGAACGAAAAGTATTAAGTATTTATCATGACAGGCCTACTTTGAACATGTGTATTTGAAGTGAAATCTGAGCCCGACATTTGGTGTTGGAGCTGAGGATTTGACTAGTATTTTTCTAAAACAACATTTTATGAAACTGTCTTCATGAACTCTATTTAAGTTAAATGAAGGTGAACTAAAGTTTCAACTGACAGATCACATTTTTAACTGTTTCTGATGAATAAAATAATGAAAAAAAAGGGGAAGGGCAGATGGACATTTTAAACTAACCTCAAACAAACACTGTCCACCTGCACCACACTTCCTTTGTTATGGCTTTATTTATTTACCTGTTGCTGTAATGAGCTCTGACGTGTTTGTTCTCAGTAGAGATAGTTTCAACAGGCTCATTATGATGAAGAAAGTGCTAACTTCCCGTGTTAAACATAATGTCACCAGTGTACATAAGTGTGCAAACAACCATTTCACTTTATGCAATGCAGTTCACAGTATTTACATTGGTTAAACCAAAAAACTGTCCAATTTATGGTGGGTTATTCCCTCTAATCCTCTCTCCAAACATGCATGTCCAGACTGACCCCTCTCAGCCCACGTATGACTCTTTACCAAGTACACAAATGATGGTAAACTTGTGTAAGTTTTCACAACAAAGAGCATCTGTGAGCCAACAGATGCTCTTTGTTGTGAAAACTTACACAAGTCATATAGATAGCTGCACATCACAGGAATGAGCTGTGGATCTTTTTTTCATTTGTATCAAAAATGACTACACAAAGCTGCTGAATCTTACGTCTAGCACTGATTAAGGAAATAGGTGGTGGTGGTTAAAGTGGGGTTGATCTGCAAAATAGCATCTTGAAAATAAACTATTAAAAAACAAATACAATGAGTAAATAGTGAGGGAAACAACTAGAGCATGATTGAAAGTTCTGAAAAGTGGAAGTTGCAGAATAGGTCTGGTTGAGTAGGTTACTGACACGATCTGAGCTACATAAAACAATATATCAAACGAGTAAACAAAAGAGCTGAGGATCAACCTCATAAGCTGCTGGTGAACACATTTGATCACACTACAGTGTCTGAATACTTCTGACCTCTTATGGCCAGGGTGGAGGTGCATTTTCCCTGATTAAAAAAAAAAAATGTTTGTGCTGCAGGAATGAGTGATGACCTCTGTGGTAGTGTCCGACAGCGGAGGGAACATCGTGGAGTATGTCACAGTGGTGGACGACTCCCAGCCAGTAAGTGTCCTGTCCAGTCCCCTCAGGTCCTGTTTCCTGTCCTCTCTGTCTACGGTCCTCTCTGTCTCCTGTCTCCTCGGTCTCCTGTCCTCTCTGTCTCCTGTCCTCTCTGTCTCCTATGTCTCCTGTCCTCTCTGTCTCATCTTCTCTATGTCTCCTGTTTTCTATGTCTCCTGTCCTTTCTGTCTCCTGTTCTCTATGTCTCCTGTCCTCTGCTCTGTCTCCTGTCCTCTGTTCTGTCCCCTGTTTTTTTCTGATGCTCTTAATTTGACATTTATATTTCTCCATGGATGTTGCACAATGTTTGCACTCCTATGTCTCCTTTTCTCTCTGTCTCCTGTCCTCTCTGTCTCCTGTCCCCTCTGTCTCCTGTCCTCTGTTTTTTTTTCTGATGCTCTTAATTTGACATTTATATTTCTCCGTGGATGTTGCACAATGTTTGCAAAGTGCCCTGTCCTTAACTGCTGATGTAACAGATCTACTAGTACATGGTTTAGCAGTAAGAGTGTTCGAGAACAGGAGAGGACAGTGGGCATCTCAGCAGGTGGTGGACACAGGCCCGTTGGGATATTTTTGTGGATGGCTGCTCTTGTGGCTGACCGACTGGCACACTTTTTTTGTAATATTATGTGAAAATTTTAACTTGGGATTTTAACCAATTAGGACTTAGGAGAGGCTTCTGTGTTGTGTGTCCAAAGTTTAAACAGAGGACACTCTGTTTTGTCCAGAGTGATGTTACACTCCTCCAACTGCCCTGACACTAGATCTGATGACTCCACCTGTTGAGCTGCACTGAGACTTTTGAGTTTCCCTATTATTATTTTATTTTATTGCTCAGTGTGCTTAAAATGTTACTTAAGTTCAATACAAGTACCATGGATCACTACTTACTCACTGTCCTCAGCATCATCCTGTCATGACCTCTTACATTCTTATTATTTTCACTCTAGGCCTGTTATGATAACTCGTTTTAAACAGCAAGCAGCATACAAAATATAGCCCATAAACTGTACAAATAATGAAACTAATGTATACCACTGATAAAAAAAAAACATATAAATCACATGTAATATGATGATATATTGGCCAAGAAAGTATCAGTAGTAGTAGTAGTAGTAGTAGTAGTAGTTCAGTAGGTAAGGAAGTTGCATAACACATTTGGATCAGTTTTGTCTTATTTTGGAAATAAATAAATGCTGTTTTCAGTCTCTGTATTGATTGATATGTGGATGGTTGCATCTCTACCATATTGCAGTTGTAGCTGGTGAAATGGGGCGAGACCAGACTGTGGTTGAGCAGTGACTGAGCTCTGACTGTTCAGTGACTAAGCGTTGATGTGCTGTTTACAGTGTGAGCAGGCGGCCGTAGAGGAGGAGGTGGAGGCTGTCCTGGTGACCGGCTCAGAGGGGGAGGTGGAGCAGACGGTAGTACTCCAGGATGATGGCTGTCCCGCGGTCATTGTGGAGGAGGTGCCCAGTGCTCAGGTGGAAGAGTGCTACTCCGCCCAGGTGGTGGTGTACGGAGACGAGACCTACCTGATGCAGGACGTGGCCGAGGAGCAGGAGGTGGTCACTGAGGTGGCAGATACTGGTGAGTCTCTACACCCTGTGTGTGTAAACAACCTGTTTAATACATGTGGTGATCTCTCTCTCTCAAAATCCCATTCTAAGACGATGTGCGTAGAGGTGTTACATTCTCTTAGACACAATGTAAAGTCCATGTCTAAATTCTAATAGTGTCTGTTGTGTTGACAGTGGAGATGTCTGCTCATGACATGGTGTGTTTCGATAAGACGTTCGAAGCAGCTGAAGCTCTGCTGCACATGGAGTCTCCAGGAGGTCTGCACAGTGAGCGGGGATCAGGTAAACCTCACACCAACAGCACAGGGCTCATGTAGCATCCATCGCTCTGCTGTGAACCGGTGGATTTTGTGTGCAGATGATGTGATGATGGAGACTGTGGTGGAGGTGTCCACAGAGTGTGCTCCCATGGAGGAGGAGGACGCATTTCCTATGGCTCCTGACTGTGAGCCCTCAGCCAAGAAGAAGAAAGGAGGTGAGCCTCTCTTCACTGTGAAATCTCACCTCATAAACACTTTTACTCATCATGTCTGTTACAGGACGGAAGCCCAAAACTCACCAGCCAGCCTCCAACGGCTCCTTTGACCTGGGCATCAAGAAGAGACCCAAAGAGGGCAAAGGTCAGTGCCCAAAACAGCCCTCATAGTGCACACGGAAATGCTTCATTATTTAGTTCTAGCATGAGAACATATTTGTGAGTGCTCATCCTCTTAACTCGCTGTACTTGTGTGTTTCAGGAAACACCACATACCTGTGGGAGTTCCTCCTGGAGCTGCTGCAGGACAAGAACACGTGTCCACGCTACATCAAGTGGATGCAGCGTGACAAGGGCATCTTCAAACTGGTGGACTCCAAAGCAGTGTCCAGACTGTGGGGCAAGCACAAGAACAAGCCCGACATGAACTATGAGACCATGGGCCGGGCGCTCAGGTTAGAGCCCTCACTGTGTGGAACCTGGGACCACTCTGCTCTTTCTAACCTCCTCACATGTTCATGTCTGCAGGTATTACTACCAGCGCGGGATCCTGGCTAAAGTGGAGGGCCAGCGCCTGGCTTACCAGTTCAAGGAGATGCCCAAGAACATCCGAGTGATAGATGAAGAGGAGATCACGGAGTCAGAAGATGCAGAAGCAGCTCAGCACTTGGCTCTCCAGCAGGGAAGTGGCACCCTGACCTCCAGCCCGCAGCCTCAGCAGACCTATGTTACTGTGATCCCTGCCAACGCGGCTGCCAGGTCAGACTGCCCTCTGCTGTCTACTCATGTGTACTCATGTGTACTCATGTGTACGAGAGTGTGCCTAAACATACTGTGTTCTCCACAGGCCCATCAGAGCCATGCCTGTGGTCATGAGCTCCTTAGGTCAGGTGACCCTAAACTCCTCGCCCCTCCTCACCACCACCACGGGGGTCCCTGTCTCTGTGTCCAGCGCTAACACCAGTCCCAAACTGGTCATCCAGACTCTACCCACGATGCTGCCCGGAGCCTCCAAAGCCGGGGACAAGATCACCATCATCACCATCCCGGCCAACCAGCTGACCACGCTGATGCAGGCCAACTCCTCCACCTCCCTCGCGCAGCTGGTCCAGGCCAAAACAGCCACAGTGCAGATGGCCCCCGGGCGGCCCCCCCCTCAGCTCATCCTGGCCAAACCGGCCGCAGTGACCCAGGCACTGCCCCAGCCCCTAACCCAGCTCTCCGTGCAGGTGTCCCCTGCCCCGTCCACACAAACGGCATCTGCAGAGGGCCCTCCGGAGGCCCCCACGTCCTGAGTCCTGCACCTCCCATGGGACTGTTCTCACAGCCGCTCTGTAAATACACCTTTTGTAATCAGTTGAATATAAGGCCTGATGAGACGCTGTACAAAGCCTTTTGATACGCTGCCACATGTATCTGCCCTAGTTTAGTCCATTTCCTGTTCCCCACACTGTCCACAGGCCACCTTTTTTACTCGTTCAAAAGGGACTAAGAACTGTGTGCTCCACGCTCAAAATACCTATACTATTTTCTGTACTCTGTGTAATGAAGTAGATTTTACTTAACTGTATTATAAAATACACGTGAACACAGTGTGCTCTGTGCGTCTGTTACGAGGCTGAGGCCTCAGTGCAACCATCGTGTGTGTTCTATTGGCTTAAACGTGATGGAAAAGAAACCTTGAGTCCCACCAGGCAAACCACCTGGAGCAGTAGGGTCATACTATGTTGATATTACACTTGACTGAGGGCTGTAGTATCATGTTTAATCAAAAGTTCTCATGCTCTACTTCTCCATTTCCAGGAGAATATGTGGCACATACTGGTTCTAGTACATTTTCTGCAGTGCTAGGATTGAATTTGTGACATGGTACAGAAGAACAGTGAAAAGAAATGTGAATACAGCTTAGTTGAAATAACTTTATTAATCATTATAAATAGACAACTGAAATTTAAAACAAAAATATACAATTTGAACAGTTTAAATATCTGAGATACAGAAGTGCTGAAGGTTTAGGTTTAGTCACAACTCTGAAGTCATTCAGGCCAGAGCTTCTCTAAGATTAAAATAAATATCACCATTTAGCAGGAATCACTGACTACTCCATGTCTGAAACAGGACTCATGTATGATTAACCGCTCTAAACCAGGACCAGACCAACTTTAAAGCAGCAGTACTGGTTCAAGGAGCCTTTGTGGAAAAAATAAAAAAATAGACAAGGTGTAAAGAAGACCAGCGGAGAGTACGTGCACAAGAGTTTGAGAAACTCAGACAAATGAAAGACAGCGATTCTGTGCTCCCATACACTGAGGCCAGGACAGAGTAATGTGCACCAGAGGTTTAAAGCGACCATCTGTAATTAGACTGACCCTCCTCATGTCTTCTCACACATCACCACTAGATGTAGGTGCTATGTATGTTCTTGCTGTCTGATAGTGTGCCAGCTTTGTCCTGACAGGAGAGCAGAGAGAACAGGTGAGTCTGAACAAAGGCCAGGGCAAAGGGGAGGGGCAGGGGGGCTGGTTTCACATCTGCCAACTACTGGTAACAAAAATGGGGTGAAGTTACAGATGGTAGCTTTAAGGTCTGTACACTGAGAGGAAACACCTGGACCCAAATTTACTGAGAAAAAGTGTAAACAAGCATACAGAATAAGAAAGAAGAGGGTTAGAAAAGATGAAGTTAAATAAACAGTTGTTATAAATAAAAGCAGATTGTGCGCTTTAAAACAGTGAGCACCCGTAAGTCATTCATGTTCTGCAGTAACATGCCCCGTACCCCTGCTGGGGTCAGTGGAGGCCGTCTGTGATGTCACTACTTGTGCGTATCAGTCTGCTCGATGAAGCTGAGGTCACACAGCAGAGACAAGTGGTCTGAGGGGTAGTGATAAGAGGGCAGGCGGTCAGGGCCGATCTGCTCTTCTGAGGGGATGTCCAGGAGCGTGTGGACCCTGAGGGCCTGGCGAGAGTACCAGATGTAGTCCAGAGTGCTGCAGCTCTCTCCGCTGGGCCGGATTTTCCAGGTGGTGTAGCTGGGCTCTGTGCGTCCGTCCTCACTGAGCTGTTTGTAGGCCGAGTCCAGCCCCAGAGCAGAGCGGCTGAAGCGCCGGTACACCTCCTCTGAGGGCTCTGCATTAAAGTCCCCACACACCACCAGGGGCAGCGCTGAGTCAGAGCGCGCCGTGATGCTCTGCAGACTGTGCAGTAGGTCTGCTCCCTGAGCACTACGCAGACGCTCCCAGCCGCTGCGCGCCTTTAGGTGGGTCACAGCCACACAGAGCCCCCGCCCCGTGGCCCTGCACTGGAGACTCTGCACGATCGCCACCTGGTTAGTGGGCAGCATCATGGCCGACAGCCGCAGGTGTGCCGTGGAGCGCAGAGAGAAGCGCGAGGAGCGGAAGAACAGAGCGCAGCCGTCTGGACCGTTGTTCCTCTCCACGTCCAGACACGGAGACCAGGGCTTGGGCAGGAAGCTGCCCTGGTACCCCAGGCCAGACATGATGGGCCCCAGGGTGTCGTAGTAGTGGTCCACCTCCTGCAGACACACGATGTCAGGACTGTAGGTCAGGATCTCCTCCAGGATCAGGTACTTCCTCTCCTGCCACTTCAGGGCCTCCAGGGGGCAGCGTATGAATCCGTCCTTCCCCTCGCCCAGAGCTGCACACAGGACCACACAGTCATGAGATTACACTTACACATGAGAGTACTACAGGAGTACACACAGTAAGAGAAGGACATGAGGCCTGTACCTTGGGCCAGGATGTTCCACTGCATAATGCGTATGGGGGGCCCCTGGTCCTGGGGGCCCGGGCCACAGTAGACCATGTGGCGGTGGGGCCGGGGGGGCCTCCGCTGCAGCACTCTCTCACACTCTCTCAGCAGCTCGTCTGGCTCCAGCTCCAGGGGCTGGTCATGGAACAGGTCCGGTTGGGCCAAGGTCCCCAACAGCCTGCTGCTGCCGCTGCCCATGGGTCCCCCTGTACAGAGGGAGAACAGGCACAGGGTCAGACAGGCACATGACAGGGGCAGAGAGGTGTGTCCCTGTCACCCTCGTGTTGTTCTGACTCTTTTAAAAGAGTTTGTGTAACTTTATTTATACTCATTGATCTGTTTGTGACTCAGGCGTGTCCTGTCAGTGATAAACACCACACACTGCTCACAGCTAAACACGTTATGTGCCGCGAAAAGTGTAGAAGCAACATATATAAACAGAGCAGCTGACACGCACCCTGCTGGGGTCAGAGGTCAGAGGTTAGGCTTACCGCTGCAGGCTCCAGGCTGCTGCTGCTCTCACTATATCACTGTGAGCGACTTTATGACCTGTCCCTGACCACACAGCCCGACGCCCCTCCCCCCGACCACAGGCCAATCAGCTGTCAGCGAGGCCCCCGTCTCCATGGTGATGAGATGCTTAGCATAGGAAGTGGGCGGAGCTGTTGCCTAACGTCTCAGAGAGTTGGATAAGAGCAGCTGGACCTGACACATACCTCCGGCTACAGGCCTCTACTGGACTCTGGATCCCCCTCTGACAATGTGTGTGCACACACCCCCACAGACGCACACAGACGCACACAGACGCACACAGACGCACACAGGCGCACACACGCACACAGACGCACACAGACGCACACAGACGCACACAGACGCACGTCAAATATAAGAACCTAGATATATGGAATTACATAGCAAAGAAAAAGTCAAGTAACTCAACTAAATAATATATATTTTTTTTTATTCAAGTCCTCAAAATATCCACTCTTTGTGAACAGTGTTGTAAACCTTCATCCTTCTCACACTGACCTTCCTGAGGAAGTGGTTTCACTTCACAGCTAAGCCACATCAGAGTCAAGAAATGCCAAAAGTGCAAACAGGGTTCAGAGCAAAGGATGTTTTATACGTTTTTAATCTAAAAAAAAATATTGAATTTATTTAGAGTGTATTTTTTGTTTGCTAGATCCTTCTTCAGTGACAATCTAGAGTGTAAATAATCATGGACATGAAGAAGAAACAAAGAGGAACACTGCTGCAACATCTACACACACAGATCTAATCTACGCACAAATATCAACTCGAACAGCAGAAATGCACCAACAGAAGAAAAAAAAGACAACAGCCAAACTAACGGACGATACTGCCGGAAAATGTGTGAGTGTATGCGTCTGTATGTGTGTGCGTCTGTATGTGTGTGAGTGTGATGATGGTCACTGGATTTACTATGATCATTTCATGGCTCAGAACTGTCATATAAAGGCTTCAATAACTATTGTTTGGGATGTGGAGTGTAACCGGAACTTGTAGGGATTCTGCTCCGATACCGATATCAATACTTGAGCTTTAAATATCTGCTAATATCAGATAACCGATACTAGGCGTGTGCATTGCCATGAATGTGACGAGACAATACTCATGCTTAAAAATCGATTCAGACACATTTTGAATCGAGAATAAGAATTGAGCAATAAAGTATCACAATATATCACTGAATCAACAGAACAGATACTAGTGCAGGGAGTGAACATTCACTTCACTAATTCCAATTGAGATCAAAATGTGTTATGTAATTGTTATTAACAGTGTTGTGAAGGTTACTTTTCAAATGTATTCCCCTACAGATTACAGATTACACACACCAAAATGTAGTTTGTAACGGAATCCATTAAATTACTTAAAGTGAGTAATGTAATCTGAATACTTTGAATTACTTGATTTGCTGTAGAGAAACAAAGACTAGGAAATCTTCACTTAAGATGTTTTGTCTGTTAAAAGAAAATAAAAAGACTGGACTTTACTGAACCAAATTAAAAATATTATTGATAGAAGACGAGGAGACACGTCCACACAGCAGGATTTAGTTCTGTTAAATCCTGTTTGAGACCTGATTTAGTCCTAGTTTAGACCTGGTTCAAACCCAGTTTGGACCCGGTTCAGACCTGGTTTAGACCTGGTTTTAATCCTGGTTTTAGTCCTGGTTTTAGTTTTAGTCCTGGTTTAGTTTTAGTCCTTTTAGTTTTAGTCTGGTTTTAGTCCTGGTTTTAGTGTCTGGCAATGAGTGAAATTACCTAGGAAAAAAAAAAAGATACAGCCTGAAATGTGAAAACAGGAAAATACCCCCATGTAATCCATTTATTTCAACAAAGTAACTGTAATCCAATTACCACTCGTGGAAACAGTAACTGTAACTGAATACAGTTACTCATAATTTGTACTCTGATTACGTAACTCCGGTACATGTAATCTGTTACTCCCCAACACTGGGGATCACACAGGTGAGACGTGTGATAAAAAGAGCCCTACCTCAGATTCTGCTCAGATGCTCCTCAAATCCACAGGCTCCCACCACAGACGGCTGCTCATCCCCTGATCTGTCCCCTGTCCCCTGTCCACTCTGTCCACTCTGTCTCTCTCCACAGTGCAGTGAAACCTCTCTCCCCCTCTCCCTCCAGAGCAGTGAAGTCTCTGGACAGTGTGTGCGTTGTGCGGGCCCCTGCTGTGCTGAGTCAGCGCTCACGTGTCCCCCTGTCCCACAATGGACTGTAGAAGAGACACTGTCTAATGAGCCACTACAAGTCACCAGAGCCAGCACCCGCAAGACCCACGCACGCTTCAGGTTTGGAGTCTGAGTCGTCGTTAATCGCTTATTTTCAAGACGCCGTCCTCCCGTTTTCAGTGCCACCTGTCCACACCCACTGTGACATACATACTTCTTTGTCCTGTTCGATTGTCAGTGACACTCGCAGGATTCAGCAGCGTCTTGTTATTGTCATTTCGGTACAAAAACAATAAAAATCAGCTTCTCCTGTCACGCACCAGTTTGTTTTTTTTTCCTTTCTACACGTTTATTAAGTCGGTTTATATGAATATGTATTGTATATGAAATGTGAGGGTGCTGTGTGGGTGCTGTGTGGGTGTGGGTGCTGTGTGGGGTGCTGTGTGGGTGCTGTGTGGGGGTGCTGTGTGGGTGCTGTGTGGGTGCTGTGTGTGTGTGGTGCTGTGTGGGGGTGCTGTGTGGGGGTGCTGTGTGGGTGCTGTGTGGGGGTGCTGTGTGGGTGCTGTGGGGGTGCTGTGGGGGTGCTGTGGGGGTGCTGCGAGGGTGCTGCGTGCTGTGAGGTTGCTGTGTGGGTGCTGCATGGGTGCTGCATGGGTGCTGCGTGCTGGTGCTGACTGGACACATTCCTCTCCCGGAGACTCTTCTGTCCTAAATGAAGAGCGTGTGGTCTGGCACGAGGGACAGTACAGGCCTGTCCTCTCATTTAGAAAACTTAACAGCACATTTTCTGGAGTGTGATCAGTCCAAGTGTTCACGGTCCTGTTGAAGAGTTTGAGTTTCGACAAAAAGGTGAGAGTTTATGACTGAAAAACTGTTGTCTGTTGTCTAATTTGACTCAAGAGAGACGTGTTCAGACTCATTTAACAACACAGATCAGCCGAATTTGAGTAACAGACATTCAAATGAATAATGGCTCTAGCGTCCTCCTGGTAGGGAGGCCCGATTACTTTTTATTTGCCCCCGAGTCCGAGTCCAAGTCATTGATTTTGAGTATCTGCTGACACAGAGTCCTGATCCGATACGTCTATAAAAATTATGAAAATTATGAAAAAGCAAAAAATAAGATCCAGAATGTATGCGGATCTTATTTTTTTCATGTGTAGTATTTGGGCTGAACTTGGGAAAATTAAATGTCCAAAACTTAAATTTGATTAACTTTTCTAACCATTCATCATCATTGTTGAAAATCTTGACTTTTCACAGTTTGGTCTTGGAATGTGCAACTTAGTAAATTTAATGAACTGGACAAAACAGGAACCAGACCAGAACCAGATCAGACCTGAGACTCGACTCTGCACAATCTACACTTTGGAGATTTGATATTATATGTTTGCATGTGCATTATATTTGAAACATTTAGACTCGTATGAAATCCAAATAGTACAAAATCTTACCAAATAAAAACGAGATGACAAAAGCTCCACAGCCTCTCTCCCCCGGCTGCCCCCAGATCCACAAGCCCACAGCAGAGCGCACCGCCACATCGCTCCCACCGCTCTATAGATACTTCATGGCACTTTTCCCACCCTCCCCGCCAAAAGCGCCAACTCCATTGCGCAACATGCAAACAAACAGCACAGTGCGACGATGCCAACCCCAGGTAACAGCGCCCGAGCATGGCATGGTCCCAAAAGTTCCAAAAGTCCAATAGTCGCGCTGACTGCACGTCTCAGAGCAAATCCCACGCCACAGTTAAAACAAAACAAAAAAACTACAACAACAGAAAAACTATTGTGTCCTGTGTGTTATACGTATATTATTTATCCGATACCTGATTGGAACATAACGTCCGAGTCCGAATCGAGTCCACAGTCACATGATCCACGCAGATCACATAGGGACAGTCTCGTCGGTCTTTAGTCGGCCGCGTCACGCACTGTGATGTATTAAGTTAGAAAATCAGCTTCTGTATTGTAATAAAATGAAATGTGAATGTACCAGACCAAATGTGGGGCCTTGTTTATGTCATTTTACCAAACTTCCCAAAGCGAGACACATTTTTTCTGTCTGTAATATCAATAGAATCCTCATTTGCTCGCAGAAGATTACTACAAAAACATTTCTGTTTGACTGTTCATATGACTGAAAGGTTTTTCATTCCACACTCTTCTCTCCAATTTATGTCTCTCTTTTTAAAATTTTAATCTTTATGATTATTTATGTTTTGATTTGTTTTTTATTATGATTTTAATGTATTTCTTATTCTGTAAAGCACTTTGAATTACTTTGTGTACGAACTGTGCTATACAAATAAACTTGCCTTGCCTATTTTAAATCATTTTGTCTTGTTCTCCATGTCCTACAGCAGACATGTCAGACTCAGGCCTGGGGGCCAAATTTGTCCCGTTATATAATTATATTTGGCCTGCGAGATCATATCAAATCTGTATTAGAGTTGCCCGCTGGCTACAGATCGACTATAGAGACATT